AAGCGAGGGCCGGTCACAGTCGTCGACGAGGGCGTCGGAGCAGGCACCCAAGCCTCGGTCGGGACGGCAAGGCTGCGGTCAAGACCGTACGCCGGAGGGGCTCCATACGAACGGACCCCGGCGCCATACGCCGAGTACGCTGGATACGCCGGGTACGCACCATACGCGTACGTCTGGGAGTGTGCCGCAGGCGGCTCCGGACGTGGCAACAAAGCCTCGATCCGTCGGATCATGCGAAAGGCCTCGTCCAGATCGGACGAAGAGGCCCGGCGATCCACCCGCAGGTGCAGGCTCGCGACCTCTCGCTCCACCAGGTCCAGGCGGCCCGCAAGACGAGCGAGCTCGCCCTGATTTCCGGCCTGGGCGGCAGCATTACCCCCAGTCCCAAGGCCAAGTGCAATCTGAACCACGAGGACACGTTGACGGAGGCGGTCAACCTCAGGGTCCTGTGTCGGACCCGCAGTCGGAGCACTCGGACGAGAGTGGCTCTCGGGAGGCGCCGAGTACTCGTACTCGTACGAGGGCACCTCCGCCCCTGCTTGACCGGAATGGAGAAGCCCACTTCCATGTGGAGCGGATCCTCCAGGAGCAACGGTGTCGCGGCAAGCGACAGCTCCTCGTGAAGTGGAGGGGTTATGCCCACTCCGAGAGCTCGTGGGAGCCGATTGAACGGCTCCTGATTGACTGCCCGAAGGCTGTCGCAATCTGGGAACAGAAGCGGCGGCAGCTTCATAAGTAGTCCGGGGCTTCTTGCCCGAACGGTCCACGTGGGACAGTTCTCGGGCATAACCCAGGGGTATCCCCAAACAGGATAGAGACCACCCCGGGTCTCGGGCTTCTTACGACAAGTCGTGAAGTCCTTAAGGGGAATGCGGTGTTGCGCGAGAAGCACACACCGAGCAGCCTCCAAGTTGTCGACGAACAACTGTTCTTTCCGAACAAGGGCTCGTTCATAGATGCCCCTAGAAGTGTGGCCGCCCACAAGGCCACGAGGAGCGACGAGAAGCTCTAAGAAGAGGTCAGCCCCAGAGCTCTCCTCGGGAGGCCAATACCCTCTTGAGTTGATGGCAGCTCCCTGGCTGACGGGTGCCGCCACCGAACCCCCACGCACACGCTGGGCAGCTTGGAAATCCTCCTGCTGCTGGTCGAGGTCATTCGAGACCTCCCGGTGCTCAACAATGGCACCCTCCTCTTCCTCTTCTTCCTCCTTCTCCTCCTCTTCATCCGAGGAGCCGAAGAGACTCTGATAGGAGCGTCGAGTCTCCTTCTCCTCGCGGAGTGGAGACTTGGAGGCGGTACGCTTCTTTGAGGGCTTGGCGCCTTCGGCTTTAGAGGCCTTAGCGCGCGCAAGACCCTCGGCAAGCGAGAGACGTTTGCGAGGATTCTCTTCCTCATCGCCACCGGCTTTGGAAGCGCCCTTAGCCTTAACGGCCGGACTCTCAGAGCGCACAGAGGTCCTAGGACTGTGATCACCGCGATCACTAGCGGGCGACTGCACGCTGCCTTCTTTGTGCTCACTGGGCACTGGGCTGTGCCCTCCCACAGAGCCCGCAGGAGCATCCTGAGTGCTCTCGGACTCGGCATCGTCTTCACTGCCCGAGTTGAACTCGCGTTCTACGAACCGAGGGTTCGGACGGCTGTCTGAAGACGAGGGCGACGGACTGCGGCGCCTGCTTGCGCGCTTGTCCGCAGCCGCGTCACCCGAGGAACCGATCGCCTCGGAGGCCACCTGATTAGCCTCCTTTCGTGCAGAGCCTTTGCCGTGAGGCTTAGTGCTCTTGGCCTGCGCCTTACCGGCTGCACCCTTGGAGCGTGTCTTAGCACCACTCTTAGTAGTGCCACGAGGCATGTTAACGGTCGAAGTGGAGACCTAGACGAAAAGCGCACAGGTTGCTGCTCGAGGCTCTAACTGTGAAGTGAGCCTCCGCCGCGCTCGCGCGGCCAAGTCGATGGTTTTCGACTTTGAGAATGAGAGTTTGTGACGAACACCTCTTCATTCTGATTGGTCGGTAAACCGTACGTGGCCCTAAGTGTACCCTGGTTACATGAAGTGTGACACTCCACACTTCAGGAGTATGACACGAGATATTTGGTACAAGGTACCAAGGTCGTTCAAAGCCAACCATTGGTTAAATAACATTGCATTTCTATAGGTAACTAACAGTTTGTATTTAACCCAAACTTAACCTACCTATAAATATACTCAGTTTACAATCTACCTTATTTAGGTCACTTCGCTCTCTTTAATAAAAGAGGGGACCTGTGAACTGCCGTTCACTGAGAGTTTGTATACTCTAGGAAGATAACTTCCTCTTGCGCAAGGTGCTGTGTGACCCCGTCACAAAAGTTCTCTATTAACAGCTCTCATCAGCGGACCATTTTGAAATTAATGGAGGCAGGTCATTCACGAGCCGAACATTCAACCGGATCAGTTTGGGGTACTTTTTACTTTTTAGCACTATTGTACTCGTCAATGAACGTTGGAACAGATTATTTTAACATGCCATTTGAAAAGGCAAAACTTCTCGAGCTGGCACCAAAATAGAACAAGGAGCCTACGTAAATGTTCCTTAGCATCTCGTGCATCTAGTGAGCTATTTGCGTCCTTACTAACATGTCTGAGCCAAGCACCTCGCAGCAAGAGCTGGCACCAGGCCAGAAGGATTACGTAGTACGGTGCTTAGACTTCATGTTCAAAGCTAAGGAAGATGGCCTCTTCAGAGGGCAGCGAGCCCGGGACCTGGTTGCTGAGTGTCTACAGATAGCACACGGCACTGTTACGACTGTGACGAGCACCTACAGAGCCGACAATGAGACCAAGTTTGAGGTGCACATCAGCCATTTAGCGGTGCATGTTTCTTATCAGCTATACACGTTAACCTCTATTATTTTATATGTGAAATCAACGCGAAAGGAAGCGTGATTACGACCCAGCAGAGCGAAGGATAAGGTGCCTGTTTAAATAAATATTTGTTTTTTCCTTGCACTCAAATCGCTACAATCGTAATCGGATTTGCTGCTGCTCAGTTGCGTACTTTCTTGTACTTTCTTGCGCAAATCCATGTGGTTTTGGGAATTGCCCAATCAAATGACCGCCTCAAAGGCAACCCGTTTCCCGTAAATCTGGGGCATCTGGTAGAAATAGTCTTGTAGCGCAAAAACTACTGCGAATCAGCTAATTCTGACCACATTTTTGAAATCTACGCCCGATTTTACCCCTTATATCTAGCTGTTGCCATAGGACTTGGGTTGCTGAATCTTCATAACAGATGGCTACATTTTGGTCCAAGGACTTGTGACGAGTACAATTGTGAGATTTGCTACTAATCTTACCCGTAAACGTCGAACATGGGCGTTCGCTTATTAATAGGACAGGGGCCATGCGGTCAGGGGCTAATGGTAACCAAATATCATATGATATTTTTGATAGTAATAGTACTATTTTCGATATTAAATATTAATAGTAACTCATTTTTGCAAAAGCTAACATAATATTTTTATATTAGCTCGGAGAACTGAAAAATATTAGATACTACATGATATTTTATGATATTTTCCCACTTAAGTACGTTTCTTGCCAGCTTACCTCTGTGAACCGAGCGGAGCCAAATAACTTTTTCGATCAGGTTCTAGAAAAGCAGTAGGCTTTAAGACTGACGAGTATTTGCTCTAGTATTTCACTGTGACACAGACAAAGGCGATCGAGATGGAAAACTGCAAACGCTTGCAGCTGTTTAACGTTGATAGAGCGAAATCAAGACATTTGTTCTTGTTCTCTTCCGATCTCCTCGTCGACATCGTGCGTCTAATAAACCTGCTGCCTGTGGCGCTAGATTAATGCGCTCAGCAGTGCCAACACACAACGCCAACCTTGCCGTCACTCACAATTGTCCCGGTACTCACGGTTGATTAGTAATACTTCAGCTAGTCGAGCGTTAACGACATCTGATTAGTTAATGTAGCCCGATTACGCAATCATTGAAAAATATAATATCGTATTAACTAATATTAAGTTGATATTTAATAATATCATATTGTCTCAAAAGAAAATATTAGGTGATATTTTTTATATTAACTGGTCTACAGGTGATATTTTCACAATATTAACTTCACCGATTTTGGAGTTACCATTAACCCCTGCATGCGGTACATCTTCTTTTGTTTTCACCCCAGAAGGCGTGTGTTCGCACTCCGGTCTCTCCTGGTTCACGCTCACGCTGCACAGGTTTGCTGCCGTGGCATAATCCAAAACATGTACCGGTACATCTACATGTAGAGATGTAGTCTACTGTAGATTCTACAGAGATGTAATCTACTGTAGATTCTGTACATCTACGGAAAGCAAACAGTGCATGTACCACCGGTATTATTAATACATGTGTAGCCGATGTAATAATGCCTGGATCTTGATTCCTCCGGATAGTGATAAATAAATGGCTTCTTTCGGTATCACTACAAAGAGGATATTTTCCTTACCAGTATTATACATGTACAACCACCCCGCGAGGGAATTCAGAGTCTGAACATCAGGAAATTTTCCTCACGCCTGACTCTGAGCTTCAGACGGATGCTTTACTCTTGAGCTTTGTAAAAGAGAAAGCTTTTCGGATTCGGAAATCTGTCTTGCCTTTAATATTTTCAAAGCATCTGCAGACGAGCAATTCTACACCTGGTGTTCAACAGCAGGTGCAGATTCATTCAATAAAACACGCCAAAACAACGGCTCTTGCATCGAGCCGTTAAGTAAAAAAAAAAGGCAATCGGTGCTGTGCCCAATTGCAATTGTCGACTATACGTGTATAGTAAAATCTGAATTGTTTGGAGACGTTGCAAAACTTTTATCCGCATAATACTGGGTGTGCTTTGTATAGTTGGTCGGGTGCACAACCCAATTCCCATCACATGCTTCATGCGACGTTGCCCAACACCAGCACAGTTCATTCCAGAATCGGCTTGAGGAACGCTCAGGGTGTTTTTAAGTACGTAAACGAGTTCGAAACATGCGCACCAGCGTCTTCGTGGCATTGGTCGTGGCCACCTTCGTGGCGACCTGCATCAGCTTCACCAGCGCCAAGAATGTAGCCCAGATCCGAGACGTCGATGGCGGCAACAATGTACAGGAAACCCGCACACTGGCCGAGGCGGACGATTGGTGGCTAGCGTCTACCAACACCGAAGAAAGAAGCGGCGGGGCTGGTTTTTTCAGCAAACTTCGTGGAAAAGTGCATGCCAAGCAGTCCAGCGGCGTTATGACGACGCAAAAACTCAACGACCAGCAGGTTAAGACAATCACGAAAGAAGTGGCTACGACTGTGAAGAAGGACCGCAGAACTTGGCCCATGATCAAGAAAGGCTTGAAGATTCTGTACGGCGCCCTCCTCGCAGGTCTCATCATTGTGGGTGTGGAAGCTATGCTATCTTAAGAATACTAGTAACTTGCTAAAATGTTACACTCCCCGCTTGTCGGGTGGACGTTGCTGTGGTTTTTGTTGGGGCTTGTTGGATGGATTACGGCGCGTGAATGGTAAATCTTCTTGATGCGTGTGTTGTATACCAGTAGATGACAACGCTTGCTCAGCTTTATTATCGTTGGCAGCTCCAAAAAAAAAAACAATGTTCCCTCGTAAGAGTCTGCGTTGCCTATGACGCGGTATCCAATGTTTCTTAAATCCCTCTGCACTTGTTTGTGGGTCGCTAAGAAATCTGACGCATTAACAACAAGGAATGAAACTCCGTGTAGTACTACGTTGTATTACTAGTACTTTCGCTTACTGTATTGTACATGTTCACTCCGGTGTTGTTGTTGGTTATGCTCGAGTTTAGTCATGGTCAGCCAGGACTGTCATGGACTGTGAGCTTGACAGTGTCAACCTGGAAAGGTGAGAAAAAGAAGTGTCGAAAAGTACCTTATAACAGATTGTTCCTCTTTACAACGCTGGTGCACGGAGACGTTTACGAGAGTGATGTGCCTGAAGAAGACAGCCCACGAAGCCCGTCTTGACGTCGAAACGCATTGGTAGGTAGTAGCTTACAAAACGACTTAGGAAGGTCCATTTTAAACGCAGCCGCAAAGGTCATCTTCTGTGGATTTCTCGTATACCTAGAGCGCTTGTAGCAAACATGTACTGTGCAAATGAGTGTTGAATTTAAAACGTTTGTAAGAAAACCTACTAGCTTTATTTAGAGCTAGGTCATGCTGTCTATTGAAACAAACACTAACTCGAAACGAACACGGAGCTGTTAAGTTGTTTGGTACCTTAGAAACTTTAAAGTGGAGTGCCCTACTTTGAATAAGCTTTGGGGACTATAAGTCAACTACTGAAGTACCGGTAGTTTTATTTTGTCGCGCAAAGCGTTTTCATTGTGACTGGATTGCAGCGAAGCTTACCACTGCATGTGAAGTATTAATTGTATTTACAGCAAAGATGGAATGTCATTGCTCAGTGCCGGCAAAGCGCAAAAGGCGTTTCTAAGTTTGATTAACAATTTGGACCATGATCGGTATTATTATCTGTTCACTTCTTGACTGAGGTCACAACCCGTACGTGCAGATGTGTATAGTATTCGATTACGGAGGAGCTAAACGAGCATCAAATCCCGCTTGGTTTTCCTTTTAAAGCACTGGGAATTTCAATTTGGAGTCAGCGCATTCGAGCATTGAGTCGAGCTCAGTCAATACAAGAGATGCGTTTTCAAGTCTTCGCTGTTCTCGTATTTGTTGCCTTGGCTTCAAGCCTCGGCGTCGCTGAAAGGGGCGTTGAAGATGTCAACACCAAAGGTTTCTTTCGCAAGCGAAGTCGAAAGCTGACAGCAGATGAAGATTGGTTGCCAAGCGCTGAGAAGGAAGAGAGAGGGTTCTCCCTCGCATCACCGAGTAGACTTGTCAGCAAGTTAAAGGCCAAGACCAGCACGGTAAATTTCGCTGGTGCCAAGACCGGAAAGCTCTCGAATACGCAGATAAAAACGGTCTCAAGAGAAGTGGCGAAAGAAGTGAACAAGAACCCCAAGGCGTGGCCTACAATCAAGACAGGCTTGAAGATTCTGTTCGGCACTGCGCTTTTTGCACTGATCGCTGCTGGGGTCTACGCAATGATTCACTCCATGCGCAATTACACTTAGGTAGTTTGAACGACCTCGGCGAGGTTGTTCAAACGCTCGCGGTCAATCATTAAGTTGTCACAAGCTGACTTGTAGCCTGGGAAAACGATGAAGCGCGGAAAGCTAGCCAGGGTGGCCATACGACGTGTATTCTCTCCAAATACCATATCATGGTACTACAGTTAACTGTCATCTTCGAACAATATCGGTAACCCAGCGACAAGCTTCTCCGTGACCTTTGTCTTCGTCTATACTCCTACGTACTAGAAACAAGCCTGAAGTCTCGACAAGGTTCGTTGCCCGCAACTATGCCATCCACCATAATACATGTAGCTTCATCTGTTTTTTAAGCGTCATTTCCGTAAAATGTGAGCCTCTCGACGAGCGTGCCGCATAGGTGTTCCAAAATATTTACAAGAGCAGACTCGGGTTCAAGTTGTTAATTAAAGCTAAAAAGGCAAACAATCAATGGCACTTCGTGGAATCTGTCAATAAGATAACTAGGCCAGCTCCGTCATAAATAGAGAAAAACTACTGTCGTCCTCCAACGCTTTTTTGTCTTGTACTCAAGAATTCATTTTCATAAAACATAGGTACACTGTACCGGTACCTTTCCACCAATCACATGGTACCACTAGCGCAGCCAGTCACCATTTGCCATGTCGACCAAGGTCTTCAGCGGCTACCACGCCATCGCGTTGCCTCTGCCTCACAGCTCGTTCCATCGCTTCATCTACGCCAAGCAGCACGACGCAAAACCCGGTGCCAATGCTGAGTCCGTTCTAGCCACTGGCCGCACCGCGTACCTCGTGAACCTGCCTGCATATGCGTCTGAGCAATGGCTACGTGCGTGTCTGGAGTCTGTGGGCGCCATCCAGCACGTTGTGGCCGGATCGGGCGGTTTATTCGACGAGGAGGACGATGAAGAAGATGCTGCAACTGATTGCGTAGTCAATCGCACCGCTCACGTGGTATTTAAAGCCGAGGAATCGCTGGACAAGATGTTGCAGGCGGATGCTCTGGAGACGCCTGCACCACAAAAGCCCTGTGGCCTGCAAGGTGGAGTAAATAGTTGCCAAATCGAAGAGGACGATGATGTAATCATACTGACAATTGTGGTGATGTGTCAACAGCGTATGCGGCCAAGTACCGACGCAACCGTCCGGGTTTGTCGGTGATCAAGGAGACGGCGGACCGCTACATGGCGACGTTCGACGAGATGGAGGCGGAAGACTTGCGTCGTCGTGAGGAGCTAAAGAACGAGGTGGACGACGACGGATTCCAGACGGTAGTGAACACCAAGAAGCGCGGAATTGTGCAGACGGAGGAGGTGCTAGGCAGGCCAGCCAAGAAGCAGAAGAGCAAGGAGCTCGACAACTTTTACAGGTTCCAGACGCGCGAGAAGAAGCGAACCCGTACGTTTGAGTCATTTGCTGTGTTTATATCGAGATGATAACGTTATGTGCTTTTTTCAACTGATTAAACAGAACTCAAGACACTTCGTGAACGCTTCGAAGAAGACCGTCAATTGGTTGACAAGATGAAAAAAGCCAACAAGTTTAGACCCGAGTAAAAAGCCTTTTTCGCAACAAAGTGATTTTGTTTACGTAGACAGCTAATGTCCAGCTTGCAATTAATGTAGGTCGCTCTTTTTGCTTTTTAGACCTTGACCACGTTGTCGAAGAGCGGCACGTCGCCAGTCTCGGAGAAATACTCAAGGAATTCGCGCACCTTAGTGGGCCACTCGGTGCCCTTGACAAGCGTGAGACCGCGCAGACGACCGAACAGATCCAAGTCGTCGTAACTCAGCTCGGCGTTGACCGAGTGGCTCGAATGCAGCATTGGCTCGAGCTCCTTAAGCAACTGGTTGACCTGCTTGACGCTTTCCGGGGACTTAGCGAGGTTCTCGCTGAAGGATCCGAAGCTCTTCTCCTTCTTGTTCTTAAAGTAGTCGCGCGACTCCTTAAGCGTGAACTCAGGCAAAGGAGCAGCGTGGAAGCGCGGCAGCAAGAGCACTGTGAGGAGTGGCATGACGGTGTCGAACCACTTGGCCAGATCCTCGCGACCTGAGGTCGGTTTAAGGATAGCACCGTCGCCGTAGTGCTCGTCCACGTACTTAACGATGTCCCAGCTCTCTGGGAAGGGCTTCTCACCCACGGGCACGAAGATCGGAGCCTGTTTGGATCCCACAAGACCGACGGGCGTGGCCTCGTCGTGGCTGGCCAGGAACAGAACGTCGTACTTGACCTTCTTCAGACCGAGAGCCACGCGTGCACGGCAGCAGAATGGGCAGTGGTCGTAGATGTACAGCTGAGGCTGCGAGGACACGGCGGGGGTCGACATAGCAAGAGAGAGGATCTTGAAAGCACAAAGGATTCGAAAGTGATGACACTTATTACCGGTATACTGTACATTTAATTGCACCGTTTAAGTCGATACCTCCCAAAACAATCTAGTTAAACAGGATTCGACCATCATCGGCACTGTTCAACCGTAATCGGCACTTTTCGTGAGAGCAGCATGGAGTCCGGCCCAAGTCTAGGCGCTGCGACGCACTCTACGGCCATGTGCTGGGCCGCATCCGAGGGAAACCTGGAGGCGATGCGTCGCCTGCGCGAGGAGCACGGAGCCGATGTGAACGCTGCCGACTACGACAAGCGGTAGAGCTCCCATCTTTTTTTTTACTTCCTCCTTCGTCGCTCTAACCTCGCGTTGACTTAGAACTCCGCTACATATCGCCGTAAGTGACGAGCAACTCGAGATGGTAGACTATCTGCTACAGTGCGGGGCAAACGCCGAGGTGCTAGATCGCTGGGGTCGCTCCCCCATCGACTGCGCAGTCGAGACCAAGAATGTAGCCATCTTACGACTCCTGGAACGTGAAAGCTACGGTCGCGGTGGCAAGATTTCGCTGCTCGACAACGACGACAAGTTGCCGTCAAATGACGAGACCGAGGGGATGAGACGGTAGATGCAGCGATGAAACGCTCGAGGGGCAATGTTGATGTTGACTGACGTAATTAATTTGTGACAAACGCAGGATCCAGTCAAGTGTTGACGTTTCCTCTTTCTTCCAGGCCGTACAGCAGGGAAACACCGAGAAAGTCAAGCGCGCGTGGCTCAGCGGCACGGAGGTGAATGTGACAGATGAACTCGGACGCACCTCGCTGCATGTTGCCGTAGAGAACGGACAATTAGGAGTCATTGAGTTGCTGTTGTCGGCTGGAGTTAACACCAACGTAGTGGACTCTCAAGGCCGCTCGCCAATCAGCATCGCGCTAGAGAAGCAGCAACTCGCCATCGCAGAGATGCTGCGCGCTCACCAGAAGAAGAAACTGGTGAGTCGCCAGAGCAAAAGCAGCGAGGACGAGCACAACATTGCACTTGCCTTTCGAGCCACCAAACGCGGAGACATGGATACACTAAAGCAGCTGGTGCCAGAGCTGGTGCGACCTGATATGGAAGATTACGACCTCCGCACTCTGTTGCATGTGGCAAGTGCCGAGGGACACTTGCAACTTGCCAAATATTTAGTGGATTGTGGGGCAAACGTCAACTTGCTGGACCGCTGGGGGTCGTCTCCTCTCTCAGACGCCGTCGACTTTGCGCACAACGAGCTGGCCAAATTCCTCATTGCAAATCACGCAACAGAGAGTGGCTTCCGCGCCACAGTTGCTGTGGACCACATCGACAATGCCACGCTGGCTGGAGCGTTAGAGTTTACGCTTCGAGTCATCACCCGAGTACGTTTCGAGCAAACTGTTTACTGTTTTTAATGTTTTAAACTGACAAGTACGTGGCAGGATCCGTGGCTGATGGGCCAAGTGCATTGTCCGGTATTGGACGATGACGGCAACTGCGTGTTGGTGACGCACAGCATCTGGCAAAAAAACAACTCGGCGGCTCAACGGCAACAGAAATCTGGCGGCATTTTGTCCCCTCGAGCGTCAAAGAACCAGCCGATCGACACGGCGGCACTGTGGAGCGACGCCATCCAGAGATACCGCAAGGTGTCGTCCATCCTCATGGTCGACCCCGGCCAGGGCCACGTCGGCGATGTGTTCAGTGGGCAGCACCCCGAGTGGCTTGACTTGCACTCGGCCCAGCAGTCTCAGTTCTTCCTGTTGCCCCACGCCCGTCAGGCAGGCATCCACACGGTCGTGTCGGTCCCCATGATCTGCAAAATGTCCACTGTGGCTGTGCTGTCGTGGTACGCGGACCGCGTGCTGACCGAAGACCAACACGAACTGCAGCGTATCCAACGCGTGGTGCGCTCTGTGATGATCCTGTCCACGCTTCGACAGGAACTGCAGAGCGCTGCGTCGTCTAGCGTTGGGGTGGGGCGCATCCCTCGCTTCCAGTACTGCCAGACGCTGGATAACGCAATCACAGCCAACGGAGAGCTCACGGACTCGTCCATTCGACGTGAAGACGGTGAGGATTATTGTGCTTTTTATTGTTTTTTTGTTTTATTAAAAATGTTTTTGTTTTTTTGTTTTTTAGTGACTATTTGTGACACGATTCCACTGGCGTTAGAGTGGGGGTTATTCGACATGGTGGACACACTGGCGACTTCCATGAGCAGCGAAGACCACGCGGCTGTGGTTCCGATCTTGCACTCGCTAGTGATGTTGCTGCTGAATGGGCTTTTCAGCGAGGCTCTAGGGCAGGATGAAGCAGAGAAAGACCCAGCGACAGATTCGTCTCTGAAGCGGGTGATTGAGGCCTGTGACGGCAAGATCCGGACCAAGTGGGCGTTGCTGGGCCATCTGAAGTATTATCTGCAGTATCTGTACACTGTGAGTCCCACAGAGGCGGAACTCTTCGCGGATGTCCATGAATTGTCCCACAAGGTGGAGAAATATCTGAAAAACCCAAGCGATACGACAGACGAAGAGAGCACCAACTTCACGGAAGCCATGGAGGTCGATGACGGCCCAGCGACATCAACAGCTGCCGAGTCTGCCCCAGACTGCGTCCTGTGCAAGTACAATGTCCCAGGTGGGTCGTTTCGAGAAGGTCGTTAGCTTGGGACATTTTTATTTAACACATTTGTGGCTCTTAACGTTGTAGGACATATTCATCCCGGCCGAGAGCCGATCCCTGCCACACCAGCTGCACCTAAAGTGGCTCCATTCCACACGAAGACGTCGAAATCTCCACACGGTAAGAAGCTGTAGCTTTCCCCCCGCGTTATCGGATCTAATATTTTTTTATCACTCGTGGCAGGTGAGAAGTTGTTTGGTCATGTCGAGAACCCCAAGTCTCCAGTCTACCGCCAGATTGAGCAGGTAAGGTTGACTGCGTTATGGACTGTTAATAACTCCAGTCTCTTAACTGTTATGTGTTTGCTGAAGCTGCTGGGGACGCTGGAGGCCGAGTACGACGCCTTCGAGCGCAAGACAGAGCTGGCGGATTGCTGCGACGGCATCAAGCCTGCCACGTTCACGTCCAGTGACTTGTACGACGCCATCGGCTCGGCCCACGATACCCCCGTAACCCGTCGAAGCTCGGCAGCTGATAACCCGCGTAAACAATTACTCGACGTAATCAACGAGATTATGCAGGACACTTCGTGCGTAATCACACGACAACAGCTCTTCGCGCTGCACAAGTGTCTTCTTCCAGCGTCGAGTGGCCAGGCTGGCGTGCTTCGAACGGACCTGGCAGTCGGGTACGCCTCGCCTCGGATCTATCGCGTGTTCCTCCCGGCCGGGGAGATCGAAGACGCGTTGGACAAACTCATCCACACACTCAACGACGCCAGCCGATGGGGGCAACGTCCGCTGCTGTGCGCCTACTACGCGTTCGCAGTGCTGGTGTTCTACGTCCACCCGTTCCACGACGGCAACGGACGCTGCGCTCGACTGCTCGGCAACTTGGTGGCCAAGAAACTCGGCTTCCCGTCATTACTACGCGCCGCCGACAAGACCATCCAAGTGCCAGAGTTCCTGCAGAAGGCCATTGTGACGATGGAGATCATCCGCAATAGCCGACGACAGACTCGCCAGACGCGCATGCTCTCCACGCGCAGAGAGAACTCGTCCATGTGGTTTTAAGCCACTGGAAAACGTTGAGGGAGTGCCGGATTCGGAGACATTGTACAAACTCCGTACATGTTGCAAAATTTCATACAATAATTTTTATTCATTGTACGAGGATCCAGCAGTGTCGCGAGATTATAGCAATACTAAAAGCAGTTTTAGCAGCTTTTAGTATTGTTAAAGGAAGTGAGTATTTTGCCAGACTGGGAGCATCCCACTCGTAGCAAATCTTGTGTTATCTTCGGATTTGCTAGGATTTGCTGATATCTTCCATATCCGAACTCGGTACAGCGTATACTCTGCGTATACCCCTCCCACACAAAAAATCCTCCCCCTCCAGCAAACGCGTGGCTCCAAACGCACGAAAATGGCACCACGGCCACGCAGCGCACAGAAGCGCCCCCTGGCACTGGAGGGTATCGACAGCGACAGCGCCAGCAACGACTCCGACGGCTCCGTGAGTGACTGGCAGCCAGTGTCGAGCCCGACTTCTGCTGAGGCGGAGGCGGTAACCAGTAGCGCAAGTGAAGAATCGGGTCAGATTTCTATCCTCGCCTCGCCACCACAAGAGACACAATTTCAGTCGTGGAAGGACTTCGAGGCCTATCTAGCGCTGTACCAAGCGCAGTCACTCCAGGTACATTATTAAGTTATCTGTTGCGTTTGTCTATACCGTCTCATCACGTTTTGTTTGTCTGCTAGATATTTCGAGTGAGAACAAACACTTCAGTGGCTGTACGGAATGCTAGGATAGATGCTCAGGGCTCCGCGGCGACTAAAATCCCGGCCGAGTGGGATCAGTACGCGAAGACGTACGTGTGTACACACCACGGCACATACCGATCGCAAGCCACAAGCAAGCGGCCGCGTCAGGAGACACGGGCCCAAGGATGCTCAGCACAGGTATGCGATTACTATAGTTTTGGTTTGTAGCGAAATAAACCCAATCTGGCATAATCGGGCTCAGTTGGGATGAATCGTGCATCACCGGTGTAAGCTCAGCCACTAACCGTGTCTGTTTGCATTAACTTTGTTACTATTATTTCAGCTGAATGTATGCGTTCAAGAGATTAACAAAGCTGAACACACGTTTGTGCTCAAAGTGACGAAGTGCCGGCTCGAGCACAATCACTCACTGAACGAGTATGCATTCAAGAGTCATCCTTCCAACCGGATTACTCTCGATGACAGTGCCTTACGGACGGTGAATGAGCTTCGAAAGGCTGGAGCAAAGAAGACCAGTATTCTGAAGTTTATCAGAGACAATTCAGATAGTAATCCAAAGCCACAGGATGTTCACAACCTCGTGAGCAAGCTGAAAGCTCGTGAAAACAGAAACGGCCCAAGTTCGAGCGCAAAACGATTGAAGAAGTGGATGGCCGAGTTTGGAGATAATGTCGGGAATGTGGGTCGTATATTCGTAGACGATGTCGGGGAAAAGGTATGTGTATTTAGTGAATCAAATACATTATATTCATAACATCTAACATGTTCTTTGTATTAGAAAATTGCAACATGTATTACATTACAGACTAAACACATGCGATCGGTCTACAAACAATTTCCGGAAGCTCTTCTCATTGACGCGACGCACGGAACAAACCGTTCAAAGTATAAAGTTTTCTCTTTTATGGCTCACGATACCTTTGGAAAAGGCCAATTTGTGCAGCACGCGTTACTACAGAACGAGCGATGGCCGACATTACTGACGGCGCTTGAAGAATTTAAGAGTAACAATCCGGCTTGGACAAAACTACGCTGCGTGTTGATCGACAAGGACTTCACGGAACTATCGGTACTGAAGACTGCTTTCCCTGACGTCACTACCCTGCTCTGCCAATTTCACGTCTTAAAGTATTTGCGGGAGGAAATCGCGTCAGCAGACTACGGTTGTAAGACGTGGGAAAAGGATCAGCTACGAGGTCTGATGAACCTGCTTGTATATGCGAAGACCGAGAAAGAGTATATGAAGCACTTTCGGTACATGTTGCACGTGTGCGGAATGGGGCGCCCCCGATCTGGGCAATTGACTTCAGATCCAGTTGGGCAGAATCTGGCACCAGTTGGGCAAAATCTGGCACCAGTTGGGCAGAATATTGTGGCGGTCGGGCAGAATGTGGCGACAGAAGCGCGGAATCATACCACATCCGAGTCTGAACGCTGTGAAACTACGAACACAATAGTGGAACCGTTTGAATCCGTCCGACACCCTTTTGTCGCCTATTTCATTAAGAATTGGGACAAATGTCGCGAGCTGTGGTGTGCACACAAGCGCCAAAACACCGTGACGCTTGGTAATAACACCAACAACAGGTTGGAGGCCTCGTGGAAGCAGTTGAAGGAGTGGGTAAACTCTTTTATGGCAGTGGACGAATGCATAGCGTCGATTATGTATTACCAGAGTCTTCAAGAGCGACGATTTATGGATGAGGTGTACAAGAAGGTTAATGTCCAGCATGTTGGTTACGATCGCGAAATGACGTTGGTTGCAAACCTCGTCAGTGAACATGCATGCGAGTTAATACACGATCAGTATTGCTACGCACTTGATCGTGCATCTTACGCCTTTTCCGAGAGAGCGCCAGGTGTGTACTTTGTGAAGAGTACATCCCCCGATGAAGACGCCCTCGATGAGGTAGACGCAGAGTACACTATTACGACTCACGACTGGACTTGCTCGTGTCTCTTTATGAGTACACGTTTATTGCCGTGTCGACACGTCTTCTTTCTTAGAAGAGCACTAAACAAGGAGACTGTTATCCCGACTAAAGTGGTGCATCAGCGATGGGTCCTGTCGTCTGTACGGTCGTCGATAGAGTTCGAAAACGCCAGTGATGCTCCTACTACTGTGGAATCTTTTGCCGTTCGAACGGTATTGGTGACCGATGAGCGGCCATGGGATTCGAACCGGAAGTCCGAGAGGCCTTGCCTATTGCTAGTGAAATTTGCGATTCGATGGCTGGTTTAGGCATGGTCCAATATCGTGAAGCAATGACTTATTTAAAGGCCGTCGCCCACCGTTTCAAGGTGGGAGATTTTTCTTCATCGATTAAGATGCCGACAATCAGTGAAGGTTACGCGCGACGATGTCTTCGACTCAGATACCGTGGGCGAGGGTGAAAGTGGAAGAACCCTGATGTATCACAGCCTTCTACGCAGATTACACCTCAGTCTGGCGAGTCTGGAACCAGTCTGGCGAGTCTGGCACCCAGTCTGGCGAGTCTGGTTCGGTGTCGGCCGAGCTTATTTGTCAGACTGGTGTGGAGACTTCAGCTTCTCATGCGACTCTGCAACCGGTCGGAAATGATACATTTGATGTGGCGAGCCCTCCAAGGTCCCGAGGTCGCCCAAAGCAAAGTGCAAAATCCAAGAAAGCAGCTCGCCGCAAAAATGTTTTGATGGTGCAAGATGATTCAAATTTGTACTCGGATAATCTGAGTTTAGCAACCATACAAGACGCCGTACGCATTGAGTCAACATACGAGACATCTGCCGCAATTGTGTCCAGATTTAAGCTGTTCAATTTCACAAAAAATCCCCGAGCTCCAGTTGCCCACAAGGTAGCAAGACTTCCCGCCTCAAAAAAGATCGTCTCTGCTGAGTCCATCCCCCGAATTTTCCGAAAGGATATCCTTGATAGATGCAGTGCCAAAGTGCTAGCTCTTCAGAAGGCACACAAGGAATCAAGTGATCAAAATCTAGGTGAGAAGGACATTGTCGTGGAAATTGTTGGAGTAGGTACCTACTCCACCGAGACGCTGGGTGTCATGAAGAAGTGGCACAAAGCGATGAAAACCATCCAATATGTGGAAAAAGCTATCGTTTGGATTGATACCATCGATTTCGAACTCCAAATGCCCCGATGGTTTTGTGTTGATCTTGATCCTGATACACAATCCAAGATCAAATCTATTCCTTTACTATCGGTGCAGGTACGCAGTTGCATACAGTCAGGCCCCGCAATGGAAATACTAATATCTACTGCTGTGTAATTGCACATAGGCTGAAGCACTCGAACTCGTCGGCAAGTCTGCGTTAGGCGACAGCACGGTCAATAAGCTGATGTTAAAGTTGTTCGCAGCGAGAGAAGACACGATTGCTGTAGACACGTCAATCGCCGGTAACGTCATGAATGGTTTCTTAGCGGTGGAGACTATGAAGGACGTGTTTGCTGGCATGACAAACCAAAAGATTTTGATTCCTGTCATCTGCAACAAGAATCACTGGTGTGCGGTTATGATGGATCTGTCGCTTAAAGAAGTTTTTATCTATGATCCAATGAGCTCAAGCTACGGCGTAAAAGTTCGACCTCTCGCTGAGAAGATGGTAGCATTGCTGCCAGATTTCGCTACAAGAAAATACCGAATTCGACCATACACGAGCGAGCTTGGAGTGCAGGTTGATAGCTACAATTGTGGCATGTATATGCTGTTAGCTTTTGAGATATTTGCCGGTGCTGAAAACCTATATCTGCTAAGTCGGAAGGAGCTACAGTATTTGCGCTATCGGTACCTGTGCATGTGCATTTAATGCAACTAGTTTTTCAATGATTTGGTCTTTTGTTAGTGTGTTTGATGCGTTGACTACCTCCAGGTTATTCCCCCTGCACTTTGTCTTGAGAGTTAGATGCTGACCGTCTTGCGGGGTTCAGTTTCAAAGCCAACACACTGCCATCCGGTTATACGTATACTCCGAAGACACGTCAACTGATGACACGTCCGGCTCTTCCTGAGTCTGGCATATTCGGGCATGCTAATCGGTTGTATTCTGGTGTAATTGTACTGTCTCTTGTTACCCAGTCTGGCTAAATAACGAGTGCCTTGTTAAAATAGCTCTATTGCTACGTTGAAACCCCGAGAAGCAGATATCCTGTCCAAAAAGTGCTTGAAAATAAAAAAATAAGAATACTTTCGGCTGTCCACCTTGGCATGTGAATACTGGTCGCGCGATCAGATTGAAAAGAAAGTTTCAGAGTAAGGAGGGATGCGATTAAAGGTGTAATTCTGTAAATTCTTTTAAAACGATGTAGATGTTTCGGAGATCGTTCTTATAAACTTCAAAAAATGCGAGTCCGTGGATCTTAATGTCCGAGAGGAAGTGATAGACTCACTGAATGTTGCCTGTGTCGTCCTGTCCACAGCTCAAAAATTCAGTGCCCTACTATAATACTTCGGACCAAGAGTTAACGGCAATTTACTCGTAGAAGATTATAACTTTCCATATACGATACTTAGATATATAGGTAAATCGCACCCGTAGATTCCGAATTTGAAGTCAGATTTGACGAATTTGTACTCCTTCTACCTCATTTTTCTCTTACAAAACGTCGTCTTCAAAGTGCCAAAGTTTGGGGAAAGGGTTCAATTAGGTTTAGCCGATGATTCATCTATTTGCGACCTGTTCATTGGCTCAGACAACAAGCCACATGTCAAACATATGGGTGGTTAGGCTAATGTATCATTTGTGTGGTACAAACGTGCACGTCGGAATGAAACTTTACAAGTGTATCCAAAATCGTCTCAACAAAATTATACAGGTCTGAGCTACGTCTCTTCCTCGTCATTGTCATCCAAACTTGAGATCTCCTCGACGTTGTCCTCCTCCAGGCCCGCGATCTCCTCTGTGTCGACTGCATCTAAGTACTTATCTTCAACTTTCTGCACGTGTCTGTACTTGTTCGTCCAGCTTCTCTTCGGGAGGGCTAGCTTCGCATGGTTCGACCTGGCCTCAAGCTCGGCAATATTGCGGGCTGGGGCGCTAGCAATACTGTTCTTTAGTTGCCCCCATATCAGTTCAATGGGTTGAAGCTCCGGGTGATATGGGGGCGTGTAAATAATGGTGTGGCCGTACATGATTCCTATCACAGCTGCCATATACAGCGGCAAGGGCTTGTGCGCGCGCACCAGTTCGATAAGTTGGGCCTTCACGGCCGTTGGATCGTATAAAATACCTGTATACAACGCTGGTAAGTATAATGCTGAAGAATTAAATATGTAGTCGTACCTTGATCCTGAAGCCATCGTTGAATATCGGCTTTCTTAGATCTTGTTGTTGGCGCAGGTAATATGTTGCGCTTGTGGTAGGAAGCGCCATCCAAATAGATCTGGCAGCGACCGTACTTTTGACTCAGTGTCTCGCACAGCTTTTGAAACCAACGCTCGAACATCTCTGCGTTGAAATTACCGTGATAGTCACTTTCATTGCTTTTGCGGCTAGCAACCCAACTTGTAAAGGAATCTTCAACAAAATTTCCTCTCAAACTATTTCCTTGGCGATAAATTACGCCTGCAGCAACAATAAATTCTAAAACATATTTAAATTAACTGACAACTTTAGATCAAGCGCATGCATATTTTATAAAACAATAAATCCATACCTTGCACCTTGTCCGCTGGCTGAGAATCTCTTCGCATCGGGAGGTAGCCACGTCGTTCCTCGGACATGGTTCACGTTGACGTATGATTCATCTAAGTAGACTTCCGGGAGAATGGGATTGTTGCTTTTGTTCCTATTCAGTAGTTTGCGCTGCAGATAGGTTGCTCGGTACGCCACATTAGCGGCTGATTCGGCGAGATAGTGGCGCTTCTCGCCTTTGATGTACTTGTAGCCAAGTCGCCTAAGCAACCGGCACATTGAACGATATCCAATACGAATAGACGTCCGAGTCTCTACCTCTTCTGCGACCAGCTTCGCAGTGATAGGTTGGCGCTGGTGGTTGCATTCGTTCACGTACGCTCTGATGGCGAGCTCAACATCCCCGTCGTTGAAGCTTCTTGGCCGCCCACGTGATTCCTTGGCATATTAAATTAAAGAGGTCAGTGATATATAACTGAAATAGTGCTGGAGGAGCTCACCTCGGCCGATGAAGCGCCCTCCTGCTTCATGTGTGAGGCCCACACGGCTGAAACGGTGCTTGCTGCAACGCCCAAACACTGGGCAACAAGACTGCGCGTTCGTTTGCCGCGCGAATAACCCTCATTTTTCTCTGCGAGGAAGAGCTTGTAGGCATGGATAACCATACCAATCTGCTCGTCGCTAAGTTTCCGTCCCTGAGCCATCCTGGAAGTGAAAGGTGACGACTGAGTTGATTTGTTAATGAACGAGTGGACGATAAGGATTCGTTTGTGGGGCTGGGTAGCTTTGTCTGCCACGAACTGACCGAGTTACAGCCAAAACTCTAGTGGTGTTACAATTCTTGGTCCGAAGTATTATGGCGGGTACAATATATCAGCTGCCGATGCTTCCACTGTAATTCATAACTGAAACATGAACCTTTGAGCTCATATTCCAAATGCTAAAACCAATTTGCTGTGCGCCAAATACAAGGAATCCAACGTAAGGGTTGATCGTCACATACGCTCTTGCTGGTACCAATTTGTCTTGGCTTATTGGATGCATACCACCCGCTCGGCTCTCTTGTACTTCGGATGCAGGTGGGCTTACACCTAGGTCACCATGATCAAGATAGAAATCGTGTTCGAAGCACACGGGTTGAAATTCAGCTTCAGTATTGCGAGTGACAAGTTAAGTTCAAAGAAAATATACATGTAGTGATAAGTCACCCATGCGAAAAGTGCATAGTTTAGTTTAAAATGGATCAGGTAAAAATGTATCCAAATTCAAGTAGTACTTCGAAGTTAAGGTTACTTGCAAAAGTAAAACGATATACACTGTATGCATATAACACTGGTATAACATGTACCGGTATGTTGGTTGGCTTACAGCTAACGCATAATCACCAAGTATTATGCAGCTCAGCTTGATTTAATAACGACCCGGCTTTTCGGCACAATTTTGGACAAGCAACCGGGTCTCATGCTTTTAGTAATACGGTATATTATAGAATATTTTCGTTGACGCAAAAGGACAAAGCCGTGTTTCACGGAGGAGCTCTGGATTACACGTAGCTTCACCATTGGTTTACCGTATTGGCAGGAGCTTAAGGAGCTTAAAATGCCATTTCATTCTGCACATAACTCGTGCATGTCTAGATGGCTAAAGTCGATTAACCCACAAAAAGAGCCGCCTAGTCCAGAAACGAAATACGATAGCAACTTTTCTTTTGTAATCGTATAAAACGTATCAGGATATTTTCAAAGGACAGGAGAAGCTCTGGACTAAACTCCAGATGATTTTGACTATCGTGTTGAGACCATATATCCGTTGCGTGAATCCTAGTCAGCTAAGACTAGCCAAAATTAAGCCCAAGGTCACGAATTCGTAAAGAAAACGTGCAAGCTTTCATCAAGGGAAGAGCTTAAGTAGCCCTCTTTTATCTCAAAACGCTGCCACCGTTTTGGAGGCTTTTTGTTAAGACTCAAGGCGGCAGGAACGCTTGGAATTTAGTACTTGCCTCGGAATCAAAGAGGCACGATGTTGCGCAACTTCATGACGCATCTTTTCAAGACACATGATTGGCTGAGAGTTTTGATGTTGCGGCTTATCTGAAGTTGTGTTTGCGGAAGGAACTTAAGGCCAAGCGAGGGCTGCAGAAGTGTGTTCTAGAGGTCGTTCGTACGGATAATGTGGCGGTGCTCTCAAAGTGATGGCGATGTGAAACGCTTTGCTATAATAGCCTCCAGGGTAGGTTTAATGGGGGAGCGGAGGTCCTACGTAGGTCCTGCATTTTGGCAGAAAGGCACATTACTACTACGAACGGTACTACGTAGTACAGCATTGTAGAATTACGATAATTCTGTAGCTAATGCCATCTTTCACACGGGAAGCTCTGAAAGAAAGCGAAAAAAAACTCGAATAAAAGTAAAGTTACACATAAATGTAATATCGAAACAATTTCTGAAAATTTAAAAGAAGGTTTGAAGCTCATTTCATATTGGCATATCCTTGATGTGGCACAAAGCATACCAGTCGTTTATAAAGCAAACAATTTTCAACACTGTCAATACGACAATAAGTGAGGCGCTTTTCCTAAATTGCATATTCTTAAAGGGTTAAATGCATATAACTGCTGTTAAGATGCATGATTTTGTATCTGCATCACATACATCTTATTCTAGATAGAATTTTTAAGCGGGTAGACCTCCTGTATCTTAGCACCATTGATTTCAGCGGGGCTCTTGCAGCTCTTGCTACCGATAAATATGAGAACTTGACGTCTATGCCTTTTGATTTAAGTCAAATTTACACCATTTCACCGCGTTTTTAGAATCAGTAATTGGACTTTAAGATTGCATATTTAAAGCACTTGCATACTTACTACGTAAAAGTTTGAGAAGTGCTCGTGATGCTTGAAGCTCGTAAATCAAAAAAAATGTTTCTACTGCTCGCTGTAGCTGAATTCACCAGTGACGGATTAGTGAAGCTGTAAGGGGTTTATGAGTTGCCGTTACTGGACTGCGTGGGCCACGGTGCGAGGGTCTCCACCAAAAGCCAACACAGATGGTGGAGATAGCAAACCCAAGATCCCAATTGCTGCTGCTACTGATAAAGATTTATTGGGCTTTTAACATTCCAACAGAGCGATTTGTTCTACCCAGTTTTCATGAACATTTACTGAGTGAATGGGTTTTGATCTCCTGGTATAAGAAATGAAACAGGATATAACAGGCTTTTAAAATTAAACTAGTACTACTAGAAGACTGAAGAAATAGTGTAAGCTCTTCCAGCGTACGTAGTAAGTTTTTACTACATATACATAGTACTTACGAATCTTATACTACCAGTAGTAAAAAGCTAGAGTTTTTCTTTACGAGAAACTCTGTATTTAAATCCAGAGCGCTGTTATTAATATAAACATTGCTTGATTAACAATACGAATTGATCTCAAAGAGAAAAAACAAGTGAAATTGAAGCTTAGCATGAGCAAACAAACATATCAGCGTGTCTACTGAAACAAAAGGCGAGTACAGTACTGGTGACCATGCCTAAACGCGCACTTCTAGACTTACGCCGAGCCAGTAGTTGTGGTCGTGGTAGCAGCCGTAGAAGACTTGCGGTCGAACAGAGCCTTGTAGGCACCGTAAATCGCGAAACCAGCAACGGTCGCACCCAGCGTAACCTTGGCGAACTTGCGGAGACGCGGCCACGACTTGGGGTTCTTCTGCACAGTGCCAGCCATCATCGCTGAAATCTTGGCGATACCCTCGTCGCTCATCTTAGCACTCTCCTTAGCGGCAGCGAACGTCGTGATTGCCTTCCTCACAGCAGCCTCGTCAGCGTTACTGTTTTTGATCGTGTTAGCAGCCTTTGTCAGAGCGGTGTTCGTCTTTAGCTTTTCCAGAAATCCACCTGCGAGCTTGGCGACATTGTCTTTGTTAACGGGGACAGGGGCCGCATCAGCGCGAAGACGACGTCCTTCAGCGACGCTTTCGGCGCTGGCGAAGGTGGAGCAGCTAGCCACAAAGGCAACAAGAAGGAGGGTGAGGAAGGCGCTGAACCGCATGGCTTTCTAACGTCGAGAAATGAGTCTTCGGGAAGAAAACAAATTCGGGAATGATCAATTGTTTCAGACAACGCGCATCGCATCTCACAGTTTGACTTAGTATTTGCATTCAAAAGAGCCGCTACGAGCTGTTTGAGGTTCGATAGAACAGAGGCTTGTTCAACAGCTTGGGGAGCACCTATCCGATTTGCTTTCCTGAGCAAAGCCCAAGATGCTCCCGACCGTACACAATGTGTACGGTCCCACCATGTGTAACACATGTTGGGAGCCATTAGTATCCAGATTAGCAAATAGTATGCCATCTTTTGTCAATATTTTAAAGAGGCCAAACTCATGTTTAAAAAGCTCTTACAAAGCTTTTGGCAGGTGGTAAATGTATTGCGTCCATTTATTTCTTCTCTAAAATGCTACGAATATCAAAAACAAATAGGTGGATTAGAAGTTGAGACATGGCGATTAAGCAATTTTTACGGAGAACCAAAGGCAGAAACGGACATCATACAGAACGATCGTTGACGGACCATCAGACTCGGTTCAGCATACGAATCGCCGATTCGGAATCGGACGGTCGTAGATACGAACAAAAACCGTGAACAGAAGTCCCCCTCAATCAGCGTAGGGGTCGTCTGATAAATTTGCATAGGTTAAGCAATGAGATCTGGTGATTTGTCTCTTATTCCTAAAATTCCTGTGATTCCGATATCAGGGGGTATATGAAGTGCAAGTAACGCGTCTTGTACTGTCTGTTTAGCGAGTGCCCGATACAGACGATACTGATAGATTTCCCCAATAGTAATTACCTCCACATAAAGTGTGACAAACAAACATTTATCCGCTCATTAGTGAATAGTGATACAAAATTAACGGGTATTGTAATTGAGCGGTGCTTAACGATTGATTTGGTCTGTTCTGTCAAGGTCGATTGAAGAATAAAGCATTAACATTTGCTGCTCGCTCCTTGATTTTCCCACAACATGAGGTCGCAAACGTTCAGATCCATCCGCATTGCAGCGTTTTGTGCATGCCAACCGACCCAATTTGAATAAAACTCGGGAAAGCGAACCGAACGGTGCGACTTTGCAATTCCAATGGTATGGCCTCGAGTAGGTATTTCTGCGTCAGGATGTTTCTAATCGTTGCCTGTGATAAAACGCGCTGTAGCTGAAACACACGTTTTGAGCCCACAGCGCAAGCTCAATGATGGATTTTCGGCTTTGTGGCGGCAGATCTGTCGTCGCTGTTCATTCATCAGCCTGCTTCCCCGACGTGGGTGGAGCCGGAATGGGTGTACGCGGTATTGCAGTGCTGGGCAGGGAGTTGATAATACCATCCCAAGCCGGCAAAATGCAAGCCACTTTGCGGTTAACGAACGGCAGCGATGGTCTGGTGTCGTCTGTACCTTATATAATATATAAATATAAGTTATATTAGGTACAACTCCTTTTAGTGGTTCCTCTATATAATAATAATATGTGGTTTTCCGGAATTGTCTGTCATACTTAAGTACCGGTACTGTATGCCGGAACCTTCTGGCATAAACTGTACCGTGTAGCGGAAAAGGCCAGTTACATGATGCGGTTCTGGGACCAGCAGTATTTCGTTCTATTTCCGGTACCGGTACACGAAACTTGCTTTTCATGGAATACGTGTTCAGTATCTTACCTCAATGAAGAGCAGTTGATAAATATGCAGTTTAAAGAATAAATGCGAGATTACATGGAATCAAAATAATTGGATTGTGATTTGATGCAAGATTATTCGCATAACATATTGAAGGCTATAAGCTTCTCGGCGTTATATAATTGAGGCAGATTACTGTACTTCGAAGTATTACTCTAATATTTTAAAATAGCTGAACCAGTATTACTACTGTACGTAGGCAACTTACACCAAGAAAAAGAAACTTGTTCCTGCGAGCCTGTAGTGAATCCTAGGTATTTCACCTTGGTTTTCCTCATAGTTCAACGGAGACGACCCAAGGGCGCCTGGCAGCTTTGCCATCTTCAGGCGATGGGTCTGCGTGTTTTCCCAGTCGGGCTAGTAAGGTCCGACCCGGGTTTTATATTAGGAACCAGGCCAACTACATATCATCTTTCTTATAACTTTCCCAGCGAACTTTCTGAGGGACGCCTTAGAAAGAAGCTGATAATTGAGCTCGATCTGGTTACCATCAGACTCGAGACTCATTCTACGATTTACCCGATACAATACACTTGGCTATAAGTTCCAGCGGGGTGGCTCCCGCTTTGTCGAGTGTTGATTGGTTTTTCGCCCGGGATTTACTACAAAGAATTCTTTAGTGGAAAAAGTGTTTTCTTTGGTACAAGTCCAGCTGCCTGTACCAAGAGACAAGAACAAGTACAAGAGCCTGTTTCTGCCGTCGTGACTGTAGTTTTCTTTTGGCGCGACCGAAGCGAGCCGCTAAGGGCCCAAGGGTTAATCGTGTTTGGCGTGAGTGGGACTGAACCTCAACAAGTACCAGCCAGGATGCAAGGAGCTGGTGCACCGGTATTTACACCGATCGTAGCACCGGAAATTACAAGTATCTCTCATGAAGCTCTGACTGATTGGACGAACAAGCGCCGTCACTACGAGAGCAAGTTGAGAGCTCGATGCCGCGCTACTGGAGAAAATTATGACAACATAGTCCAGTCCGCTCGCGACTCAATGGATCCTGATTTACTGGATGTACTTTGCGAGCTGAGATTGAGCGAGGACGTTGCTAACGTGAATGACGACATGCTGATTGCTGAGTTCGCCCTCATCCTCTCAAGCGTGAAGAATGACACGCTCCCTGACGTCAAGGCATTATTCAGATCCAAACTGAGGATGAATCTGACGGAGAGTGATGTCGACGCCCGTGTGCTGGACTACTTTAACCAGTTCCGGAAGTTAGTGCGCGAGAATGGTCTGGGCGCCTGCTTTGAAGGTGACGGGGGTAACGAGGCAAAGTGCAAGCAACTCGTGGCCTCTCTTCACCCAGCGGCTCTCAAGGAAGAAGTGGAGCAGTGTTTGCAGTATACGCACAAGCAGGCCGCCTCGATTCCAAGACTGTTGTTTGACCTCGTCGTTGAGAAGGCGAAGGAACATGAGCGCCAGTTTCTAAGACAAAGGAATAAGAAACGAGATCGCGATGAAGATCTGCAGAAGAAGAAGAACCCCGAAGGAAAGAAGAAAATCAGGACCGGTGAGAATACGGAGGACTCTTCAAGGAAGGTGGCCAAGACCAATAGCATATCCAAGACCAATAGCATATCCAAGACCAAGACGAAATCGAAGTCGAAGAAGCTACCTCCAAGTCCGTGTCCAAAGTGCAATGAGATGCACTGGCTCAACGAGTGCCCCAATGCAACTGAAGATGAAAAGGTGGAGCTGAGAAAACGCTTGCGTGAGGCGAATGCAGCCAAGCGTACAAGGACCAAGCGCCTTGGTGAGTTTCTACCGACTCCATCTCGTGCTGTTATGGTGAATGGAGTACTGGAGATTCCGTACTGCGCTGACAGTGGCTCTGACCATACCGTGATGGGCCGCTCTCACTGGAATCAACTCCGGGCTTTGGACCCAAGTGTTCAAGCTGAAGAACTTACTGTTACTGTTCAGAACCAGACGTTTGGGTCTATGTTGGTGACTGCCGATAAGAAGGCCAAACTCCATTTAATGATTCGCACCGCGGCTGGGCAGGTTAAACCGATGAAGGCTGTGGATGTGTTGATTGTCGATATGGATGACGACGAGTTCATACTTGGCAATGATGTACTAAGAATGCTTGGGATTGATGTGGAGCGTCAACTGGAGCAACTAGCTGACCTAAATGTGGATGAAACAAGTGGCGATCCTGTTGAACTGGAAGCCGACGAATCTCCGGTCCGAATTGGAGAACCTCAATCTGAGAATGAGGACGTATTTGCTGCAGTTGAACGGTTGGTTGAGCATGCAGTCGAGAACGGATTCCCAGCAGACAAGCTCGATCGATTTCGTACTATCATCCATGCCTACGATGTATGGCGTTTGACTCTGCAGGATGACCCACCAGCACGTGTTCCACCTCTGGAGATACGACTACGGGAAGGGGCTCGTCCAACAAGGTGTAAGCCTCGACGGTATCCCCCTCACATTCGCAAATTTCTTCACGAATTCAACTCTCGTTTGGTAAAACTAGGACTCGTTTACGAGAATTCGGAAAGTCGATGGGCGAGTCCCGTTCTTCCTGTCAAGAAGTCAGCGGACCTTATGGATCTTCGGCAAACCACAGACTATCGTGAGTTGAACGCATTGACTGAAGTCATGGCAGCAGCTATGCCGATTTTATCCGTGGTGATGGAGAACGCGAAGGGAATGAAACATTTCGGACTCTTTGATTTTTTGAAGGGCTTTTGGCAGCTTCCGTTGGCTCTAATGTGTCAAGAATTGCTTTCATACATGACCGATGAGAAGGTTTTTACCCCTCGCAGAGTGCCTCAGGGTAGTAGTGATGCTGCGATATTCTTTTAGAAGACCATGGAGAATTGCTTTGCCAGTCTACTGTACGACCATTTACTGATTTGGATCGACGACTTACTCCTTTATGCCAAGGATATTGATGTATATTTGGACAAGTTGGAAGAAATGCTGTCACTAATGGACCACTTTGGCTTAAAGCTGAGTGCAAAGAAAACGAGCTTGTACCAGACTGAGGTCAAGTGGTGCGGCAGGATCATAAGTGGTGAAGGCATCAGACATGACCCAAACCGAATTGACTCGCTACGTGCTTTGCCATACCCACGTACTGCCGGAGAGCTTCAGCAATTTGTCTGTGCGGTCAATTGGATGTGTCAAAGCATTATTGATTTTGCAAGGCAGATTTCCCCTTTACAACAAAAACTTGACGCGGCTCTCACGAAAACCAAGAGGACCAAGAGGGCGGCTGCTGGCATTAACATTGAGCTGAGCAGTGATGAACGAGTGGCATTTGACCGGATTAAGGATTCGCTCGCCAAAGCTGCTACTCTCGATTTTCCTGA